GGCCATGACCTCACTGGCGCGAATTCCCAATCGAAGGACAAGACCTTACTGATGCCAGCCCCCAATCGAAGGAGGCCAACAGAATGCAAATCGAAGGCTGCTACTGCCTGGGTCGAAATACACTCATTTTTCTTACTTTTATCTTATTTTTTCCTTCATATTTTTTATGCACTTCAATATGGTTGTAATAGTGTAGGATATTTATTTGCCACATTTTTATTGCTTTATACAAATGCTAGTAACTAGGTGTGTATGGCAAGATAAAATCAACAAGTAGACAACCCAAAAATCAAAGACAAAATACATGCAATCAAACACACTTGCACACATACACCCTTAGGGTAATTATACTTGTTGCCTTACAAAAATGGCCATGTTATGCATGTGAGATGTCTTAGCACAAACGAATTGAAAAAGATCATAGTCCCTCGATGACGCTATCAAAGTTGCCTTTCAAAATGATCTTAGTCCCTACAGAAAAGTGCTAAGTCATTTCACAACATTGTTATCATGGTCATACGATGACCCGTGCCTGTCCCGTTAACATCCTAACACAAGGTTGTTCACCAAATACAATGGTGAAACAACACTGTTAAAAGGGTTAAAAACATAAGAAAGATCTTTGAGTAAAATAGGGTAGACAACTCTTAGTTACTTGATCAAAAATCTTGCAAAACATCCTTGCTATTTTTCAAAACACACTCCACAACACAATTTCAAAACAACTTTCAAAAACATTGAAAACCTTTTCAAAAAGACATACACCTTTGTATACATTCAAACAAGAATCATTACAAAGGTTGCCTAGACAAGGCATCTTTTTCAAAACATTTTCAAAACCACACACACAAAGCACCATTTCAAACAATTGAAAAGCAAAGGCAAGTGATCTAAAACAAGTAACTAAGAGCCAATGGATAACCATGGATGAAAAGGGTGCTAGCACCTTCCCTTTTCATAATCTACCCCCCGAACCCACGAAAACATCTCAAAGGTTTTTCCTGTGATTTTTGACCTTTCCTTAGGATAAATAAAAGGTCGGTGGCGACTCTTGCTAAACCGAAACATTTGCGAACACAAATGCAAGTCCTCAAGTCAGTTCTCCCACCGTATCACAGAGACATTTTAGAGGAACCATCCACCTACTTTAAAGGGTATGTACGATCCTGATGGAGCACAAACTTGGCTCAAGGATATTGAAAGGATATTTTGAGTCATGGATTTCTCAGAGGCACAAAAGGTGCGGTTTGGTACACATATGCTGGCAGAGGAAGTTGATGACTGGTGGGTTGCCACCCGTCAGAGACTGGCACCGGTGGGTGAAGTCGTCACTTGGGTTGTGTTCGGCGGAGAGTTTTTGAGGAAGTACTTTCTCGAGGATGTGCGTGGGAAGTAAGATATTGAGTTGTTAGAGTTAAAATAAGGGAATCTAACTGTGATTAAGTTTGCTTCAAGGTTTGTGGAATTGGCCAAGTATTACCCATATTACACTGAAGTGACTGCTGAATTCTCGAAGTGTATCAAGTTTGATAATGGTTTGCATCCAGAAATCAAGCGGACAATTGGATATTAGCAGATTCGTAGGTTTCCAGAGTTGGTGAACAACTATGGGATCTATGGAGAAGATATCAAATTTCATTCGACTCACTACAAGAGGTTGAACGAGAAGAGAGGAAAACGACATCAAGACCATATGAAGCCTTATGATGCTCCAACTTATAAAGGGAAACATAAGGTTTCTGATGGGAAAAGGACAATTGTGAGAGAAACTCCTGCTCCTGTCAAGTGTTATAGGAGTGGTGAGCAAGGTCACTATTCTAATGAATGTGAGAATAAGGTCCTGAGATGTTACAAATGTGGTAAGATGGGTCATCATGCTCCTGAGTGCAAGAACGATGGTCTGACTTATTTTAATTATGGAGAACAGGGTCATATCAGTACCCAGTTCCATAAGCCAAAAAATAATGTTGATGTTTCCTAGACCAATGGTAGAGTGTTCGCTTTGAGTGGATTAGAGGATTCCAAGAAGTACAACTTGATTCGAGGTATTTGTTTTATTAACAATATTGAATTGGTTGCTATTATTGATATTGGTGCTACTCATTCATTTATTTCACGTGATTGTGCTAATATGTTGGGATTGAAGTTGTTTGATATGAATGGTAGTATGGTAATAGATACTCCTGTTAGTGGTTCTATTACTACTACTTTCTTTGTTCAAGATGTCCTCTGACCATTTAAGGTAAGAGTTTTCTGATGTATTTTCCAATACCTATGCTTTGATGAATTGGAAGATTCAGTGATTGATCTATTGTGATGTATGTGTAAATGATGAATTGATGTTGCTATGATGATGTTATGTTGTATTATGAAGTAATTGATGCTGCTATGATGAATGAAGATGATGATTGCATGTTTTATGTGCATACATACTGTGTGAAGATAATTATATGATGATTATATGAATGATGATACGTTTTGACTAGCAGTGATCATGTTGTATTATGTTGTTGTGCATCATGCATTCGTGGCATATGTTAGGGCATTGGCCCATTGATATTAGGACGTTGGTCCAGTGATGATTGTTAGGACGTTAGTTCAGTGACGGTCTCAATCCCATGGTGTGGATTGAGTGCATTTTTATGAAGTGCTTCAGTTCCAAGCGGGAATCAATCATATGGTGGGGATTCTTGGAGGAAGATGACTTAGTCATCAATGAAGTTTTGGTACCCATACATGAGTCAATGATATTGCATTACATTATATGCGACATTACATAATGATTGATTAAGTGATGTTGATGTCGTTGTGACCTAAGTGGTGTTTGATGATAAATGTTAATGTGATGATATAATGATATAATTGATGTGTATTGATGATGCGAAAGCGTGAGTATAATATATGAAGTATGATGATATGTAGAATCCATGATGATTTATTGTAGAATCCCTTTTTGCTTGGAAATGTTGCCTTTATATGTGGGTAACTTGTAGGTAATCAGGAATAGTTTGTTGAAGCTTATAGGATAGCTTCAGAGTGCGTTATTTATTTCTTGTTGAATAAAGTAAGTCTTGCTCTGATACGTAACATCGGGGTTGTGATCATTTAATTGAAATGATTATGTTCTTTTATTTATCTTGAGATTAGAACTACCTTTCATGATATTTGAGTTATTTGAATTATAAATTATGAACGACGAAGTATGATGAAGCTTCTATGAAGTATTTTAATAAAAGTGTTTTGAAATTATGAATTCCGCTGCGAGTAGTTGAAGTGTCATTTTTTTATTAATGAAGTATTCTATATAATTGATTTTGAAACCCCGTGTTACGGAGCAAAATGTTTTATATGAAGATGTGAAACTGTTTGGTGGTTTTATTTGAATTATTTTCGTAAATTATATGGGAATTATATGTGGATTTAAAAGGGTGTTACACCTTGTGCTCCATGTCATGGTTGTGCTCCTCCAATTGCGGCTCATGCATTTGGACATGATCGCGCTCCTCCACCTCTTGGAGTCCATTTTCTCGTGATAAAGTTCCATTTTGCATGCTATATTTTTGTTTCAACCTCCGCCATTTTATCTATTGGATCCCGATTACACCTACTAGCACATAAATAGAAGTTGTCAGGAGTAACATCGTTAATCTTTTATATAGATGATGCGGAAAAAACTATCTCACATCTATCTCCAATATTACAAACGATCCAATCATACACATCTTTAATCGTTACTTATTCACATACATAATTCATAATTTATGCATAGAAATTAATAAATAAAATATTTATAATTTTTTACCACGAAAGTTTTGATGATACAAATATTCAAAATTTACCTTTTTTTTATAAGTTTTTCTATAAATAATTACTCTGAATTTTTATAATTAAATTTTTCAGATCACAAACATTTTAAAAAGAAAAAAAACTCATAATTTTTATACTCTAAAGATGTTAATATTAGGAAATGTCAAAAAAAAAAGTTTATAAAATAATGCGTAAGTTATATACAAAAAATATATTCAAAATATTTTGATAAATGAAAAATTCAAAATTTCTTTTATTATGATTCTAATAATAAAAAATGTTCAGATTTGTTTTGAAAATTCATATACGAGTATACACTCAAAAAAAAATTTATAAATATTTTAAACTTTTAACAATATTTAAAAAAAAAAACTTTTTAGACTTTAAAGGTTTTGATATTCCAAAATATCCAGAAAACTAATATAAATATCATGCATAATATAGTAATTCAAATGTTCATATCATAAACATATTCTGAAGCTATTTAAATAATAAAGGAAATTTCAAAGCCCAAGAACAGTAATTCGGAAAAGATATAGTAAGAATGGCTTCGCCCGGACTCGAACCGGAGACCTTCAGTGTGTTAGACTGACGTGATAACCAACTACACCACGAAACCTTGTTGAGTTTGATTTGCTAATTTTTTTAAATAATTAGAAAAATAGATAATTGTTAAAAAATTGAAAACTTCTTATAAACATTTTATCTGGAAAGGGTGAAGTGGACACTTGACACTATCACAGTGACTAACAAATAAAACAATGCTCCGAGCAACTGCATTTCCGGCACCGAACAATTTCGCAATTCTCTCTGGAAACAACACGTGTCCTTATCTTGAACACACACGTGTCATTTATCCTCGTTCTTCTTTCATTTCGAGGTTCAACCTCCTACAATTCCGACAACTCCGCGTGAAGTGTCTGGCCGCCGTACGCGGCGGCGGTGGATTTGTCCCGGCGGCAGTGAAGAAGCAAGGAAGTGGAAGCGCGAAGCTAGTTGAAATTGAGGAGGATTTCAATGACGAAAGTGACGAGGATGTTAGTTTCGAATACGATGAAGAAGAGGAAGAAGAGGTTGTTGTTGTTGATGATGATGATGAAGAGATAGAGTTTGATGAGATGAGAAAATGGTTAGAGAATAAGCCGAAAGGGTTTGGTGAAGGGAAAGTGTATGACACTTCAATTGAAGATAAGATGTTTGAAGAATTGCAGCAGAGTAAACGAGCACAAGCTGCTAATTTGAAAAAGCTTAAAGCAAATTCTATCAAAACTCCCTCCAAAAATGATTCCCAGAAGAATATAGGTAACCCATCGAAATTCACTTTTTTAAAATTTTGGCTCCTGCTAGCTATAATGATTTGTTTGGTGAAATTATTATGCTTTTGATGATGGGGTTCTCTTCATTTCCTTGATTTTGTATTGTGATTGTTGACAATGTGTGCATAAAGTATTTTTCCATGGCAGTTGGTTATTGAAAATGAGTAATTCACCCTTTAGGTTAAGCAAGTAATCTCAAGTTCTTAGGTTTTTTCCTAACTATTTATGAGTATCCATGACCAAGTAATTTCTCATTTTTTATGATACAAGACTCCTTTATTATTCCTTAATTCATTGAGAAATGCACATTGTAATTTGTCTTTGAGAATAAAGCTTGTGGGAAACTTGTCGCACACCCAATTTTTATCGGTGTATTAAGACTCCTTAAGTTTAGGTCATTGTGGTGTATTAAGACTCCTTAAGTTTAGGTCATTGTGTTAGTATAGAAGTCCGACAATTATATCAATAAAAGAAAACTCAGTGCACAAGGCTCTGACCCTGCAGGGGGTTGCAGATGGTAGATGTAGTAGTCTTACCTCCGCAAGCGAAGAGTCCGGCAGCAATTTATGGTTGTGCCAGTGATTTTCATTCTAACACCAATCCAACTACTTAAGTATGTAGAGCATGGTTAAAGGAGTAAGAAATTAAAAGGTACATCGTAAGTAGCATCAATGCTTATTGGTTGGTAAAACCATAACTTGTGCACTAGTGTTTAGTTTTAAAGGAATTTCTCAAAAAATAGTTGTCTCTAGACATCTGCTTTTTATCTTCTCAACATTTTTGTATTTTTTTTAATATCCTGCAGCACCAACGTTTTTGTAATTCAATTTGTACTAAACTGCACAGCTGTTATGTTAATGGTGACTGGAAAAAATTTGAAGACTTGTAGAGAAATGCTGGGGTCTAGTCCAAGACTGTCTTCTTATGCCTCTTGAGCTTACAATTTGAAATTCAACTTTGCAGATGAATTTCATTGTTTTAAATTTTATTTATTAAATTTTGGCTCTTGCTAGCTATAATGATTTGTTTGGTGAAATTATTATGTTTTTAATGATGAGGTTCTGTTCATTTCCTTGATTTTGTTGACAATGTGTGCATAAAGCATTTTTTCATGAGTGTTGGTTCATCTAAAATAACAAATCACTCTTTATGGTAAAGCAAGTAATCTCAAGCTCTTAACTATTTGAGTACCCATGTTCAAGTAGTTTTTCATTTTGGATGATACAAGCTTGCTTGATTATTCATTATTTGCGACCAACTTTTACTGGTGTATCAAGACCAATATAGTCAAGATCGAGTGCTGGATCATAAGATCGTAAGATCGATCTTACGTGTCAAGGATACCTGAGAGTGCTACGATCTGAGAAAGATCGTTTTCGTCGCTGGTGTGATCAAGATTGAGTTTTTTGGCGTGCTAACGATCCGAGTTTTACGATTTTTCACAAACCAACTGATCCTACTTAAGATCTCGTGCTTGACTACATTGATCAAGACTATTTATGTTTAGGTCATTAGGTTAGTATAAAAGTCTAACAATTATACCAAATAAAGAAAACTCAGTGCACATGACTCTGACCCTGCAGGGGGGTTGGGGATGGTAGATGTAGTAGTCTTACCTCCACAAGCAAAGAGGCTGGCAGCAGCTTTATTGTTGTGCCAAAGATTTTCATTCTAACACCAATCCAATGACTTAAGTATGTCGAGCACGGGTAAAGGACTAAAAAAACACGCATGTAAGTGGCATCAATTCTTATTGGTTGGTACAATCAATACATAACTTGTGCACTAGTGCTTAGTTGTAATGGAATTTCTCAAAAAGTATTTGTCTCTAGACTTCTGTTTTTTTTTATATACTCACACATTTTTGTAATTCGACTTGTACTAAACTGCACAGCTGTTATGTTAATGCTGACTGGAAAGAACTTGATGACTTGTAAAAAAAGGCTGCGGTCATTCCCACCGTCTTCTTATTTCTTTTGAGCTTACAATTTGAAATTTCACTTTGCAGATGAAAATGATGTTCCTAACCGAAGCCAAGTGCGTTTGGTGAACCTACCAAAGAAAAGGAAAATCGAAAGGGATTTGAAATCAGCTTTTCAAGGGATTCCGGGGATAACTAAAATAGTCCCTGCTGTTATTGGAAACAAGAAAACCAGGGATCCTATCTGCAAGGGTTTTGCATTTGTTGATTTCAAGCATGAAGAAGATGCAGTTAGGTGTGTTCTGACCTCAACCTTGTAATAATAATAATGGAAAATAAAGGAATAGTATGTTTAAATTTAATCCATACAATGCATGAGATTCTTGTAATGAAAAATATATCACTGGCAATTTCTTCATGAGTTTTAACAATCTTAAAAGTGTTTTATTAGATACATTGGATTTATCATCATGAAAAATATTGAAATTAGTAAAAGATGGTTTTGCTTTTCTTGGCTAGTTTATCCAAGCTTCTTTGTGTTGCTTTACTTGACTTAAATGAAGTGAGGGCGTGTATGTAGCATCTGGATCTGTTCAACTTTGATAATTGTACTTGTATCATTGAAAGACTTTGCTTCTTGTATTGCTTTTTTCAAGTTGTTTTTGCTGTACTAGTCTCTTAACATTATTACCAACTCAATAGCTCTCTCTTCTTCAGGTTTGTAGAGTTATACACTGGACAAACTATTACTTTTGGAAAAATTCAGAAGCAGATAAAATGCGAATTTGTAAATCCACTGTCTTCCTCTTCTTCTCTTGAATTAAGAAAAAATCACAAGACTGCTCTGCCTCTCTTGCCATCCTTTGAAGAAGGTTCAAATGAGGATTCGAACATGGACGATTCTGCCCGAGGTACCTGGGAAGAAACCGATTCAGATAATACAGATGATCAAGGGGAAAGTGATGGGGAGAATGAAGAGTTTGTCACTGCTTTGAAGTTGGATAGTGATGACCGAGTAGAAATGGTAAATAATTCTGAAATCAATTCACTTCCCTCAAAGCAGGTTGATGGAGAGAAGAAATCATCTGTCAAAGTTGGACAAAAGAATGCCTCTAAGAAAAAACCAAGTACAAAAGAGAATGCGAAAAAGTTTTTAGATGTTTTTGGATCTGCGAAAAGGTGATTTCCTTGAGCATCATCATAGTTGTTTTTAGCATGAATTCAATTCTGTGTTCATTTCTCATGTATGGTTGACTCCGGTGCAGGTTAAAGATCAAGGAAAAGGCTGTATTGAGTGGCGTTTTTTCCAAGTACGGATCAAAAACTGCCCTGGCTTCAAAGGATAATTAGTAACTTGTTAATGACCCAGTCTAAACCATCACCCAGTATACAATGAGACTTTTTAGTTGGCCCTGAAAGCCAATTTTTGATTTAGTTTACAATGTAAAACTGTGTTGAATCTCTATGATATAATGCGAACTTGATAGAAATTATGACAAAGTTTGATCTATGTAACCAATTCTATTTAGTGGAATAAGATTTGGTTGTTCTTCTTGTTGTACAATATAGTAGTGGCTTAGTGTAGAATCGTTGTACTATAAATGGATGGATGATAATATATTATTTATTAACTGTTATGAATATCAAAACATTCTTTTTAATATCTAAGGCATAAGGCATCTAGTGGGATGTTTATGTGACTATCTTATGTAGAAGTGTAAAAGTAAGATTCTTGGGGTTTTTGGGGTCTTTTTGAGAGTGTTTTTTTAAGAGTTTTGGAGAAGAGTATTTTAGAAGATTTAATTTTTAAAATTTTAAAAAAATATCAAAAACATATTAAAATATAAACGTATTCCTTCAAAATTTATTCTTTAAGAATCCTCTAAAATTTAATTCACAAACAAATCCTAGGGCTTTGGGAATTTGGAGGAGAAGGGAAGAGAAGACTTTAAAGAAGGATGGATGGAGGAAAAAATAGATAATTTTATTTTTACTTTTTAGAAAGAATGATCTTGTATAGTGTTTTAGGCCAACTATGCGACCAAATGTCAGAGGTCTGATTAAGGCATCGTCGCAGAAGATTAGTGTACAGGTGGACAAAAAAGTTGCACAACATGTACGAGCTACTCCCTCACCATCAACTGTTGAATTCAATTCAACGGTCTTTCACATTCTTCAGCGTGCCAATCGAGAGTACTTTTAAGCGTTCACCATATATAAACTTGTCAACACGCCGTAATAAGTATCTTTTATTCATTCTTGCAAAGTTCCACCTCTTTGACCTCAATGACTTGAGCGTTGGAGTGGTGACCTTGTAGACACACCCTTATCCACTGTATCGAAGATCAACTCTAACACATCAGAGAGCTTTGCATTAACACTTCATCAATTTTTTATTCCACGCCAGAATACTAGCGTCGTCTGTGGAACGACTTCGAGATTCTCGCGACATTTCCTACTAAATTCACGAATTTTGTTAGGTTTTACCGTCGCAGCCGCTTTGATCAACTGATCAAATCATCTTTAAACGATAATGGTGACTTTTGAATTAGATCGAGTAACCACCCATCATAATGCCAATTATGCGGCCGGAGCCACTGCGCCAACCCTCGCTCCCGAACAGAAAGTTCCACCTTCTCCCGCAAGGGTCTTCCAATTCTAATAACTTCCTTCAGTTGTTCCATTTCCCCAGGCTCCAGTTGCTTCATCGATCGAACAATGCACCTTTTGGATCTTGTTGTCCTTAAAGCCTTTTTAGCATCTACTTCAAGGACAAACATTTAAGCAACTTCAATTGCAAGCGCCAACTATTGAATCAGAAATATTCTAGAGCCTTCAACAATATCAGACAACACTAAGAATACGAAGAGCGGGCAGCCTCGTCACAAGCATTTCTATTTTGGTATGATAATAGAATGCACATCGAGAGGTAGTGAAATGTGATAACCTTGAAGTAGCACCTTATGCAGTTCTCGGCGATTCCTCCTTATAACATCAAAGAACTTCCAGATCACCAGAATATTTTTGTCCCCGAGCTCGCCAATCTGCTTGTTGTATCCCAAAATTTTCCCTCTCATTTTTCAAGGTCTTTCTCACAAGGATTCTCAAGGTTCAAGCTTGCACAAGTACTTTGGGATTTTCCAGTACCAAGATTAAAAGGAAACTGTCAAAAAGGGAGAAAACAAATAAAAATAATATTTTGACAAAATTTAGAGAAAAATAAGTGTTCTTCGATTCAGCTCCTTCGATTGGCCTTTTGGCCTCTTTCGATGCAAGTTTGGCTTGCATCCTTCGACTGAGCGTAGGCCTCTGGCACGTTGGTTTGGATTCACAAGGCACAAATCCCTTGTAGTCTCCTTCGATTCCAAGGCAAAAGGCTCCCTTTTAGCATCCTTCGATTTTCACTTTTTGCCTCTTATATGCCTCTTTCGAATCTGGACATTTTGACCTCCTACATGCACCTTTTGTTTGGGCATGTGGTTCCTTCAGTACAAGCTACTGGTCACACCTTTCGTTTGGGCATGTGGTTCCTTCAGTACAAGCTATTGGTCACACCTTTCGTTTGAGCATGTGGTTCCTTCAGTATAAGCTATTGGTCACACCTTTCGTTTGGGCATGTTGGTTCCCTTTATGTAGGTTTCGTTCGAACATAGATCATTTGCATGTTGGCATGAAGTCACAAGGCAAAGAGCCTCCTGTAGCCTCCTTCAATTACAAGGCAAAAAGCCTCCTTTTGGCATCCTTCGATTGCACATTCAAACTTCTTGCATGCATCTTTCGTTTGGCTTTGTGGCCTCCTTCGATTGAAAACTGGGGTTACGTACTTCATTTGGACAGGAAATCTCCTTCGATGCAAGTTTAATTCATAAGCTTCGTTTGGGCATTTTTCTCCCTTCGAAGCAGTCTTCTTTAGTACATTTCTAAAACCCTTCGACACAAGTGGAAAATAGGATTTTGAAAGAACACTGATCAAATCTTTGGGCCATGCTACATGATCTTACTTTGTAGGCCTTAATGATTGTATTTCACTCCATAATTAATTGCTTACATTTTGGATTAAGCTATTGTCCAGGTGATTAAGCCTTTGTCCAGAACTTTTTTTTGTATGAAAGTGAACTTGCTAGTACAAATCCTGTCCTAAGCCCATGCTTTGCTTAAATCCTATTTGTACTTCACCATAAGTCAGGAAAGTCAGCCCCTTTTAACCAACAACTTTAGTACTTCACCTTGGGATCTTAGAAAATCTGACATAGCTTAATATTCACGTATCAGCCAAGCCACATCTTTGTTCAAACTCCCAAACCCTTTCTCTATAAATAGAGAAACCATTGACAAAGAAAGGGTCCAGATTTTTGCTAAGAGAGAAAAAAATCATAAAAATCCTCAAGCACTTAAACTCTCCAACATTCTCAAACTCTCCAACATTCTCAAACCTTCAAAACTCTAAGATTTTTTTTCATAAAAAAACCTCATTAATGTACCTTTCGATTCGCTTCCCCTAAACTGTAACATAATAACCTTTGATTCACTCATCACCATCATATACTCTCTTTCGATTCAGTGACTGCCCAAACTAAGCAGTAACTGAACTAGAATCAGGAAGATTCTAGCGAAGCTCCCTCCACCACCAAAGAAGTCACTTACAACTCTTTCGATTAAGCACTTCAAGAGGTAAGTTCTCTCTAAACTTGGAACTCTTTCATTTAAATATCATGTGCACATGCCAATAAAGAAAAATGTAGATATTTCTAGACCATGTTTTAGCTTTCAATTCTGACTGCCCATATGTTGAAAACTCAACCTTAATTAGTTATGTTTTGGACTTTGAGACCCATTGGTTTTTATGCTGACCCCTGGACTGTAGTTATGTTTGGATGTTGCATTTTAAGAACTTAAGACAGGTTTGTTATACCCTTCGATTGGCTAGCTGTACAAGCCTTTCAAATAACAATCTGAGGGTTTAATATGCTTACAAGGAGTCATCAAGGAGCCTGTGGCAAAGACAGAACCTTGCTGTTTCCAGGCCTCAGATGAAAGACAAAACCTTGCTGCCTCCAAGCCTCAGACGAAAGACAGAACTATGCTGACTTCCAGGCCCAAAGGAAAGGCGTGTCCACACTGATTTCAACCCCAGTCGAAAGAGACAGAAATACAAATTGAAGGGCATGACTCCACTGACTCCACACCCCAAATCGAAGGAAGCCAAAAAACACATAATCGAATGGTGTTTCTGCCTGAATCGAAGGACCCATTTTTCTTGCTTTTATTTTATTTTTTCCTTTATATTTTCATGCTATTCAATATGGTTATAATAATGTAGGATTTTATCTTTCTGCATTTTATTACTTTTGTATGCTTGCTAGTAAATAGGGAATGCATGGCAAGATAAAAAGAACAAGTAGACAACCCATAATCATAGACTAAATGCATAGAAATCAAACACACTATTTACACATGTACCCCTAGGGTTAACTACACTTGTCGCCTAAAAAACTGTCATGTTATGCATGTGAGACGTCTTAGCAAAAATAATCAAAATACAAGATCATAGTCCCTCGATGACACTTCGAATGTTGCCTTTACAAATGATCTTAGTCCCTCAAGAGAAATGCAAATATATCTCACAACATTGCTATCATGACTATACAATGACCCACGCCCGTCCCTTCACATCTAACGATGGGGCTTCTTACCAAGTCAATGGTAAGATAGCAACATCTAAAGAAGGAGAAAAAGAATGTTTAAGACCTTTTGAGTAGGTAGATTTCTCCTAGTTGCTTGCTTTCTCACAACAAAAACATTTCATACACCAAACACTTTCATTTTGAAACATTTTCAAAAGACAACACTTTGTATGCATTCTTATAGAGACGAGAACCATTACAAAGACACCCTTTTCAAAATCACTTTCAAAATCACACCACAAATCACACTTTCAAACAAAAGCAAGTGATCTAGCAAGCAACTAAGAGCTCATAGATAATTATGGATGAAAAGGGTGCTAACACCTTCCCTTTTCATAATCTACCCCCCGAACTCAAGAAAATAATCTCAAAGGTCTTTCCTGTTCTTTTCAGCCTTTCCTTATTGGATAAAAGAAAAGTCGGTGGCGACTCTTGCTATCTGCAACATTTGCGATCAAATGAAAAACATCCCAAGTCAGTTCTCCCACTGTGTTACAGAACTGGCGACTCCGCTGGGGAATGTGGAAAGTGGGGTACCTTAGGGCTAGATCACATTTACTTGCTTTTCTTTGTTTGACTTGTTTGCTTTACATTTTGGTTTCTTGTTTGGGTTTATTTTGATCTTCTACCCGGATCTGGGGCACCTTTTAGGTAAGTAGCAATAGA